TAACAAGATATTCCATTTTTAATTCAAATTATGAAAAAATGCAAATAAATAGCAATTTTTCATATACAGTGAAACCAAATTAACTTTTTTACACCTCAACATCTAGCCTAAATACATTACTTAACCATGATAAGAAACATTATGAGCTGCAATCAATAAACAATCAAAACTACAACTCTTAACTGAAACAATATAGATAAATTCATAGATTAAATGGAGTGCACTATAATTTGCCATAGATTTAAAGATTCAAATACCTATGGTTTATATTACCAAAACGGATTGATATTCATGTTTCGAAAAGCAATACGTTTATTTTTATTTAAAAATATATACAATCGGAAGATAACCAATCTTCCGATTGTAAACATGTGACAACACAACACCGTAACTTCTTTATCCAACATTAATTTTTTGGATTCTTGAATAAACATCGCATCCAAATCTTATCTCTTTATATGTGGTACAATCACTGCATCCCAATGTACTTGTTGGGCCATTGTTTACTGCATCCATACTTGGCTCTCCTGACATGCTATTTGCATCAAGCTAATAATACGTATGCTTCTCCTTGGGAATCAGCCACCGCAACTCAGAGTACATGTGCACTAGGGATAAGGACTTGCAAACTACACCCTCTTTTCTTCAAGCTTCTCCACAGTTGCATGCATATTTGTTTCTCAAGTTAATCTTGATCGACCTTCCAACCAAATTCTCCATAATTCTCACCTCGTGCAGTCTCACAAGTTACTGACAAGATAAGCTGTTCCACATTTATTATGATAAGATCCTGGAGTCACCACAATAGTGTACTGCTGTGCTTTCGGATGTGCATCCTGCTCAAATTGTCGAGGCCAGAAAGTCTGATGCCCCTGACTTATAAAATACATACTTCCACCTGGTCTCATGCTGCTTCTCCGATTCAGAATGTCACTGAAGAGCGTTTGAAGCGGTGGATCTCATCAGTTGTACATCTTGATCCAAGATTTGGCTCAGCTTCAGACGAAGTCTTGCGAACATTTTCGGATTTCGTTGCTAGCTACTTGTATCGGCTCTCGGACGCCACTTCTGAAGTATCAGATGAAGTAGCTATGGACGAGCAGCTGACATATATACCAGACGAGGATCCATCGGCTGCTAGATCTGGTTCAGACTGTAGTAAAGGACGAGAACCTTGGATACATCTTGTCTGGAAAATGTCACTCCAGTGATCACAAGGCCTCAAAGTCCCTGGCTTCAGTGACTAGTTCAAGCAAATTTTGCGGAGCAAAAATTTCACATTATTCCAGCTTGTAGTGCCCAATCCATGGTTTCTCGCTTTAGCTCGTAAGCGTCATCCATCGATCTTCACAGAATTTGGTATCTGTCTTCCAAGTGATCGACGTTTCTGTCGATTTATGGTCCACCTCGACTTCTGGACACAGCACAGGCCCTGCGCTTTTCCCTTCATCCAGGACCGAACGGTGAGTGACCAGGCCTCTCTAAACGAACTCGAGGACCAAAGTGCCATATTTCGTTTTCAGAAAGTTTCTCATTTCCAACAAGAAATTTCTTTGTTGTCTAGGTGTCTTTATTAGAGAAACTATCGGAGTCACTCAACTAAAATTTTGGGGTGACCGTTTTTTATAATATCTTTGTTTATCTAGGTGATTTTACTAGAGAAACTACCGTAAATATTCAGCTAAATCTTTGCCGTGAAAGTTTGTGACAATTTCTTGGTGAGACTTTACTAGAGAAATAGTATTTCGTTTACTTTTTACCTCAGAAACTTGTAGTTTTGAAAACACCATAAATTATTCAAGTAGTTCTAAAATATCAAGATAAATTCAAATTTTCTTAGAAACAATAGTACTAGATAAAATAGTGAACCCAGAACTACTAAATAGATGTTCTTGGTTCATAAAAATCTCTTTACTGATAAGTTTGATTCTAGATTTTAAAAAAAGATTTCTTCAACTTATGGAGTTTTTCGGAAGATTAATTTGATCATTTTCAAATACTTCAACCGTGTGGAGAGTGATTTCTCCTCGCTCAAATGGAAAGAATATTCAAGATCAAAGATAACACCCATCTGTCTTAAAGGTGTATTACAAACATTGTCGACAAATTTTTTGGAAAACAGGATAGTTTAGGCCAAAAATTGTCAAGTTCCATATATTACATATTTTGATTTGAAAATAATGATTAATTATATTGAGATGCGAAAGATAAAGAATCCGCCCTATATAGAAAGGCCTGTGAGTGACGCATACTCCACGTTTGGTTCTGAACTTATAGTTGTCTTGAATTATGGGATCGGATTTATGACTCACTTGACCAGGAATTGCAACAGTCGTGTTCCAAAACGCGCTTACACGTGCACTTGTCTGGTCAAAGTCTCTCGGACCAGGAAGGTGATGAACTAAACACATTAGGTATATGCATGTTATGTCTTCTTATCTTCAAACAAATATATCTTGAAAGCTTTCTCTTTATTTTTTCTCTTCAAGTTATAAGTCAAAGGTCAAACCACTTTGTTCCATTATTAAAGTCGTGTGCTAGCATGTTTCCGTCTTGGCGCAAATCTTCTCACACGCCTCTAGACACACAACCTTCTCATGCATAACATGAGAAGGTTAAAGTTATCCCAAGAATATCCAATCTACCAGGTACTTTGACACAAGAGATATTCTTCATGGCATACTTATAGTCTAAAATTTAAGACTCTGGCCAATGTTTGCTTGTTTTGCACTTCAACAAGTTTACTTGTAAAACACAAAAGCTGTTAAGCTTGTCAAGTCTTTCATCACAAGCAAAGTCAAACTCATTCACACCATTGTGTAGTCTTCAAGGATTTGACATTGTATGATATGTCATTAAACACAAATATATCCTTTCAATATTCTTGATGTACTTAAAAATCTACTTTAAATTTTTTGAATTTAGTATATAAATGTTCACATTTCGAGCAATATTATATCTAATGCATATCATTAAAAACTTTAGGGTGTAAATTGCTTTGTTGTAATGATGATGATAATTTTTACTTTCTAATGATATTGATTGGATATCAAATTTCATATGTTGACATTGAATTCCTTTTCTGTCAAAATGATTATGTCCTCAGCAAAATAAAATAAAATAACGAGGTTAAAAATATCATAATTTGATTTATTATGTATACACATTGATCATACATAACTTTGAAAATCTTTTTGCTTGCATGAAATCATAAATTTAATTGTCATTTCATTTATATAGATTTCTTCAAATATAACCACATCTTTTTTATTCATAATTAAACAAAATATCACAATAAATGCAAACACTAGTCAAATTATAGTTTATTTGTTACAAGTGAAAAATATTTATTATAGTACACATTTTTTCTTATGTGAAACCTTTACCTTTCAACTTTATTTTGAAGATTCGCTTATTGTTATCTATTAGATTATCTTTAGCTTGTACATCCAATCTATATCAACAAAAAGTTAGTTTTTGAAATCCTCACTAATTTCCATGTGAAATGTATCTTACATTCTATAGTAATATTTCAATCAAGCTTATTGAATTTGAAAAAAATTTATATATGAAAATAAAATTTTTACTTCTCACAAAATCAATTCATTTTCATCATTATAGTCCACATGAATATCATGATCTTCAAATATGTATAAATTAGTCATTCTGTAGAGTTTTTAAGAGTTATAGTAATCTGATCTGATGATTTTTTAATAGGCAATTATGATTGATCACTATTGTTTGATGCATTTAATTGAGTTCAATAATAATACGCTCTTTCAGTCCTTGCTCTTCAAAATTTTCCTCTTTGTGTATTGAAACTATTCATTATGTCCCACTATTAAGTTCATAAGAATCAATCTTTCCTTAATAACATCAATGACTAGAGATTTGTTCTTCTTAGTATGAAAATATGAGAAATATTTTCTTCTTTGAATGAACTGATTTCATCCAAATAAACATATTTATTGACAATAACCTTATAGTTTATTAGATCTGATAGTTAAGAATACTTCACATCATTAACATATCTAAGAATGCAACAAGTCTTGAAAATGATATATATTTCTTTTAGACATGAAAAGCTAAGTTATATTGTCAAAAAAATTTTAATTATAACCAATCACACATTTTTGATTATATTCGAAAGATATCAAATAATTAAGGGAGTGATTAGTTATCACTCAGTTTGGTTTAACTATTCCTCACTAATATGTAATTGTTCACCATATTGAACAATGTTCTGTGATTGGTCAGAGCTATACCTATACTTATTAGAGCTCCCTGATATAACCGCGCGTGAATTAACCCAAATTGAGAGACAACTAGTCGCTCCAATATCCATGAATGTTACCCTGATCCAAAGTTTTCATTATTTATACTAAATATAAATTTTAAATATAATATAACTAGCCGCTCCCATTATTAATTGCATTAGAAAGATAAATATTCATTAAATAATCAAAATAATATAAATAAGATAAATTTTAGATTTGTGGATAGTCTTATTAAATAATAACACTATCCACAAACTAAAACTTAACATTAGAGCTCCCTACTCGTACAACGGACACAAAGCATTAAAATTAATAATTATTCCATACATGAGATCTAAAGTAAAAAGTCGAAAAGCAATAACTTCTGAAAGTCTCAGAATTGAAAAAGCAATATTTCTCGATATGTTGTAACCAATCATACAACTAAGTCGCAAAATATGGATACTGTTTTGAAAAATATAACCCCGGCGGAAATATATTAATTTCGGCTCTCTCTCCCTAAACTCCCCAGTTGCGGACCCTTCCCCTCCAGCAGCATGGGAGTCGGAAGAGGTTTGGATGAAAGTCTTGGAATTCCCCGTTTCCGGTGAGGGCCGGATGCGGCAATGACAAATGCGGCAATCCGTACAACCGTAGTTCGCTAACTGTTAGCGTGACGGTTAGGACCGACCGGGGGCAATGGAGCGCAGGCGCCTCGTGGAGGAGGAGATCATGGAGGGCGACGACAAGGCGATCGGGCGCAATCTGGCGATGGAGGAAGCGCGATCTGCGCCAGGCGCGATGGCGACGAGAAGATGACGCAGTGCGAGGCCCGTCTGCTCCGGGATGGTGGTTAAGGCCAGGGCTCGGGCCAGATCCGCACTCGCAGACAATTCGGGCCTTGGCTGCATCGCCGCTGCGCTCTCAGCTGGCTGCCGAGGACGGCTCGAGAGTGTCGCTAGCTAGAGATTGTGGTGAAATTCGAGGCTGCTCGTCATGGCCGTGAGCAATCAATTGACGAGAGTCATCCGCGTCAGTTTCGGGATCGTCTTGACAGTGGCGCTCTTCTCGCTGCTGTCTGCGATTTTTCTGAGCAGCCGATCAGAAGACATTCTCGCGGCCGATGACGACCTGGGCCGAGCAGACCGATCTGCTCCTGGCGCGAGTGGCAAATCCTTGCCAGTCCGTGAAGCCATGGCTGCTGCCGGCAGCAGGTTTGTCAAGAGCTGGTGCGTTCGGCGGACCGCGAGACAGGAGGAGGTGGAGCAGGTGATCCAGAACATGGAGACGCAGGAGAGATCTCGAGTCTTCGAGAAGATTTTCCGCGAAGACTACTGGGGCGGAGGCGAGTCTCGATCCGGGCCTGGCAGTCGCAAGGATTACACCGCGAATGTGAGGAAACTACTCGCCTTGGCTATCAAGACTTACGGCGTCAAAGAGCTTCTGGATTCTCCCTGTGGAGGTGTGTAATTCCCATCCCACCGCCCATCGATTTCATACTCATGCTGCAGTACAGCTCAATGTCGGGCGTGCACGCAAGTCCTTCGCTTGTAGGCCTGGGACCCAAAATTCGTCTCGACTGCAGCATCTCGCGGAGAAGTGCTTTCGGCTCTTCGAGGTTTTCTAAGCTGATGGCATGGGTGCTCGTGCTTGCAGATGTGAATTGGCAAACATTGACGGAGGGGTTCAATGCCACCACGTACACGGGCTTCGACATCGTGCCGGACATGATACGCAAGAACGAAGCCACGTTCCAAGGCTGGCCGAACATGAAATTCGCCCGGGTCGACTTCACCAACACGCCGATCGACGAAACCGTGCGCCCGGATCTCATCATCTGCCGCGATGCGATCCAGCACAATGCGCTCAAGGATGGCCTGCGAGGGCTGGCGAATTTGGAGAGCACGGGAGCCAAGTACATTCTGACCAACTGGCACTCGCCGCCGCGCCCGAACAAGGACATCAAGTTCGGGGACTTTTATCTGATCGACGTGTTCACGCGGCCCTTCAATTTCTCCAAGCCCGAGATGTTCATCTCCGAAGGCGTGAATGGCCACAACTCCGAAGGCAAGTTCGCCGGGCTCTGGAAGCTGCCTGCTCTTCTCAAAGGCGACGGCCGCCCCTTCCGCATTCCTGAATCTCTCGTTCTCAAGGCTCGGCAGCACGTGGTGACCAGCGCCGAGCTCGAGGCCGAGCTGATCAGACTCCAACGACCCGGAGGCCTGCAAGCGTAGCGCTGTGGTTGGTCCTCTCGGTCGCTCGCACTGGTCCTCTTGCTTGGACCAACTGGATCCCGCAAATCAAAGAAGAAATCGGAGTCCTGGTTTCTCTCGAATGAAGAATCTGCTCGACTTTCATGTTTGCCATCTCCCTGCCTGAGACTTGCAACACAATCTGAAAGAGGAATGCGAGGTGAAGGTAGGAGGAAGGATGGCCGGCTGCCAAGCGCTTTGGCAGAATCCACATTTCTGAATACAGTACTCTTCAATGCATCTCGTCTCGCAGCGCTAATTCTGATCTGGTTCCAGCATCTTTGCAGCGAACTGTCACCTAAATATTACAGAAATCCTGAAATCTATCACCATGCACACGCTGCGAGCACGGTCAAGAGTGGTGTATAGGCAGGCATGCCGCAAGCGAGAAGAGAAGTGCATCGGTGATACCAGACCCCAGCGATGCAAAGCTGTCCAGATCGTTCATCTGGCCGGATCTTATGGTAGGCGGACGAGAAATCGCAGTTAGAAGCTTGTATTCGCAATTCCTTCGAGAGATTATCCATCTTGATTCTCACTTGGGCAATCCAAACCCGGTCTGGGCGCCATGACGCGTGATTTACGCAATCATGAAAAGTACTCTGACATCGTGGGATCTATTTCTCGTGCTGCAATGACAGCGCTGTAAGCTTGCTCAATACAACCAGGTGTACGAAAAGGATGAATGAAATCATCATTCAGGCCTACCATAAAACAAAATTTTGGACTCGTCTTCTTCCAGTATTAAGTACTTCTCAAACAACTCCCCCACTTCATTATCCACATACCATGGCCTACTGTAACAGTTGAGATGTAAAGGTCAAGTTTGAGCCACGGAAGACATAGGCAGTTATGGAGACACATTTTCATGAAAGTATCCCAGTGATGAAAGTTCACAGCAAATGACGATGAGGATTCCAAGCTTTTACTTACTTGTCATGTATAACCAACTCTTACGTCTGTGAAGCCCAGCCGGCTTCTATACCATACTACCCATAAAGCAAGACATTGATTTTTGCAGCCCATGAGCGAAAGTTTATTGGCTGCTGATGAAACCTCTGAGGTGCTCAAGATTGTGGACAGATCGTTGGTGCACATCTTGGGCTTCTTTGTGCGTGTGTAGTTAGGAGGCAACTCTTGAGTTTACATTAGTACTGGATTATTACTTTTTAGTTAGTTTTAGTTAGTTTCCAACATTTACGCTAACTATAGTATCAAGAATAAATGTTTAGTCCCTTCATCATGCTTTCTCGACCTTATTTTTGGCGGTGAGGAAGTCGGCCCTGGCTGCTGTTTTTGACCCGCCTTTCGCTTCTTCACTTTTGTAGGTGATTATTGGAAAAGCTTTACATTTAGGACTTTGAACCGGCTTTCCCGTAGATCCCACGAATCCTACATTTCCTAAGACTTTCTCTTCAATTCACTTATGTGCCTTGCCTGTGCTGGAAAAAACTATGTCAATCATCAGGTTTTTCTTCTAATGTAATACTGAAAATGTAGAATGATTACTCTGCATACTAAGGCTGAACTGAAGCTCGTGGGGAAGTGATCAATTAGAATTTTTTTCGTAGATTTGGTGATCCGGTGAAGTTATTGTCCAAGTTTCAGGCTCGGAGACTTCTCTCTTGATTGATAGACCAGGTCAGTCTTTTGACCTTTAGTGATGCAATTATGACAGGGTTTGATTCGATCATCATTGTGTAGTTTGCTCGTAGAAGTAGCTGAATGCATACACAACTTGGATGCAAACGGGGTGCATCTACTACACTCAGTGCAGTGATGGTACTCAGGACGTTGTGTTTTGGCACCATACTGTATGGTTCCATACACCACCACGTAGAGTAGTTAAGCAATGTGGATCAGTGATGCATTGACACTTTTATCATTATCAACACACAAATTAGTATCATGGGCGGCGTATACGGAAAGAATCGGAAGTTTCCATGGATTGTATGTGTCACTTGCAAGTGACTTAGTCCGCGGTATGAAGTTCGAACTACATCTTATTCATCATAATCCGGCCTGCTTAATGTAGGCGATCGTGTGTCGCCATGCCAGCGCGCCTACTCATGCTTCCCTTCACTTCTGGGTGGCAGTCGCGTTATGGTTGGTTATTGAGAGGAATAGGAGGTTTTGTGTGGCTTCTAAGCATGCAAATGATTTCCACTTGAATATAAAGTCATTTTGCAAGGTTAGACTAGAGATACAAGAGGAAGATGCTACGTTATTAACTATTATTCTTACAACAATTTTTCCCACTGCGAATGCTGGACAAATAGATCTTGCCATCCAATCTAGTATGTTTGACCCTAATAAAGTTAGTTCTTACTCCAGAACTACATCTCTCTCGGATGAGAATGCTTTTGATAAAAGCACATAGCAGAAGAGTAATGAACTAGGAGAGTAGCAGACTATTGGCCGACCTGAAACGATGCTCTCAGAATTACTGTAATAAAAAATATCACTATCTTTATCGCAATGCAGTCAGTTAGATTGTGAATATGCTAAGCTTCTGTCTTTCAGGGACCATAGCTTGATGCTTTGAAGATATTGTTCTACGAGTTTTGTTCGTACTTTGAAGGTTTGAGTTTGGTAGATACATTTTCTTAAACCCATAAGGAGATTATTAAATTCATGGTAAGGATTCAAGTCCAATAGGTGACTTTGAAGATCATATCAATGTGTTACGAATGAGGAAAAACTGTTTGCTGTTCACAGCAGATTCCACGTTCCAAGTATGAATTTAAGCAGTTGCGGATAGGTATCCCGGTGGTGTTTCTATGGAATTTGCCCTACATGGTTGAATTGGAGTCTGCAGGGACATTTGGGCGGAATTTGAAATGCTATTTTGGAGTGCGGGTTGCATGGTAGATGTTCATCGAATAATTCCAGCAAGAATTTGCAATGTAAATGTTAAATAAATAAAGTTCACATTTAGCCTAGCCTAAACGAAGGTATCCTGGTAAGACTAAGTTAAACTAATTTAGGTGATTTAGACACCCGACTAGACTAATCAGGCCGTATCATGATAATTTGGTGCATCTATCACTAGCCGATCGAACTGGAAGACACCGAAAATTGCTGCTACCTAATGTGCATGCAGCCTATGAGATTCGACAGAAGGGGCTCGAGATCAGCACGAGGAGGCCGCCTTGTCGACCTCGGCTTCCCAGTACGAGGTGAAGGGCGTCGGGGCAGTGTCGTAGGGATTCGGCAGATCATCATTCGTGACATAGACCCTGCCGGCGCGAGACTGCTTCGATTTGGTCATGGTGGAGATGAGGTTGGCTTGAGTCACATTGTACACGATGTGGTAGAAGCGTGCCGGGGCATAATTGGCCATGTACGCGAGGGGAGCGTACGAAGCATAGCTCGCGTGAGAATCTGCACGACAGAAACATCACGTCACATCAGTCCTTCACATTCACATTCACAGGAGCTCGAAAATGAATGACATTCGGTTGCATTGCAATCCATCGACTCGACGGCAGGACTCACTCTCGAAGGTGACGAAGTTGTCGGCGGGGACATTGCCCGACGTGGTCTGGAGGAAGCATTCGGGCCCATTGGTGCCCCAGTTGAGAATGGTGTAATCCTGGCCAGTGGGCGACATGGTCGTGTCCTGCACATGGCTCACAATGTTGCTGTAGTACGACGTTTTGGTGCAGTCCGTGGACGCCTCGTCGAAGAAAATGCCGTCCACTTTGTACAGAGAGTTGTACAGGTCGGTCTCGGCATTGACGGCGGCCTGGCTCTTGGCTCCATAAGTCGTGGCCACGTAGCCCAGAATGGTGGTGATGAACGTGTCCGTCGACGCTCTGATGGCGCTGATCAAATTCACGTAGTCCGAATTCGCTGTCGTCCCGGGCCCGCTGTTCGGGTTGATGATGACGATGTCCGCGCCGTTCGAGAACGAGTACCAGGCGCAGCTCGGGGTCGTGATCGAGCACGGGTACACGTACGAAGGCGCTATAATATACTGCGACACGCCTGCGCAGCCTGGTGCTTGCAGAATCTGCCTGCTCGCACACACTGCGTGCACCAGCGTCAGAGCCAGCGCGAGCTTCGTGAGCGTGGTGGTGGTGGCCATCGGGCCAGCAGTTGAACTGGGTTCAATCGTCAATTGAGTTCACTGCAAAATATTTCGAGCAGCTGGTTATGAACACATCGTCAATCAATCGTTCTTTCAATGTCATGATGGGTGCCAGTGACATTCACACGAAGAGCCCAACGACTGAGTGTGACTAACTTCACATCGAAGGTTACTCACTCAATCACTTGCAACAACATGCACAAATGAACTGAACTTTCGAATCCAAAGAGAAAATCATATCCTCGAAGTTTTCGAGGAAAACGAGCCAAATTTGAGTATTTTATGGAACTCACCGAAGCACGAGTGTTGAGAGCTGCTGAGTCTGTAACACGATTTCGCGCTGAAGGTGTGGATGTTAATATGTCTACAAGTTGGGGACTTGTTTATATATGTTCTGGAGCGAGGGATAACAGCGTTTGACCAGGGTGGGGAGCCGTGGACCTTGGATGCGGTTTCATGGATGTCGAGCAAACAGTGGACCTTTCGGTCTCGATCGATCGAGACCGCAAGGGCATGTTCTGATTCAGCATCTGCAGGCCGGGATAAAAAGGATGCGGTGGGCGAGCATGTCAACGGTGGAGCCAACCGCAAGTTCAGGAGTGCAGGAAGTTGGTCAAAACGTCAGCTTTCCAAAGATGCTGAGCGAATATCTACAGCGGAGATGAGATGTTTTAAAGGAGGAGATGTCGGCATCGATCTCCATCTCGGTCCTCTTGCAAGTGGCTGGCCGCTAGATCTGGCCAGTGGAAGGTTTATCCACTGTTCCTTCATACATTTGTACTGTCAAAACTCGGTTTCTTCCTGTTTCTGTTTCACTGTTCCTGCGGATGTATCTTAATCATTTTCACCCGCATTCGTGACCAAATCAGTTTCAACACCTCGTTGAATTTCTCAGCCTGATCTGATCTGATGCGGGCCACACGTACACATCCTACTCCAATTCTCCGCGCTTGTCTTGTCAAGATCTGATCCCACGAACCGATCGGCCTTCCAATTGTGTACCGTTTAGTCAAGCCTCGAGTCTCTCGACGATGCAAGACATCGACTCATTTGGTCGTTCGGTGCATTGACGTTTCAAGCCCTTCGTGAGCCGTAATGATTATGGATCTGATTGTCATGGCCATTATTGGGCAACTGGGTATGAGGATGAGACCTCTTTGTCAAGGAAAAGTGCTTCTAATTTATGATGCTGTCCTCCGGACTCAGCACTGTTGTCGTTTTTCCTGGCTACCATCGCTGAGGTCTACGGGTAGAGTCCTCTATCGCCACCATGCTTCAGAAAGCGGAATTTGAAAAGCAAGAAGTGAGAGCCGGGCTAGATTTCACCGTCGCCCCCTGAAACTGGGAGCAGTAGCCATCACTCAGCGTAAGAAGATAATGCGCATGTTATCCACTACATTCAACACAGTGCATGAAATCGAGTCGTATGAATCTGGTTTTCGTTCTTTCAGATCATTTTTAAAGGATTCAGATCTATCAGATCCCAGATAATATCTAGAGCCCCAAGCTAGTACTCTTTAGTTCGCTGCCACATTTACACATTCTTACTCAAACCCAACTCTCACGTTGCAAATTTTTTTCTAAATATCTAACACAGTTGCCTTAAGTCTTGGTCTTTCTAGGAGATCAACTGCATAGAGAAATATCAACAAATACTGACCCAAGTCTCACTTTGCAAATTTTTTTCTAAGTATTTAACACACTTGTCTAAGTCTATTGAGGAGATCAACCTCATAGAGAAATATCAACAAAGAGTAACCCAAGTCTCAATTTGAAATTTTTTTCTAAATATCTAGCACACTTGGCTAAGTCTTGATCCGTTGAGGAGATCCAATGCATAGAGAAATATCAAAAAAGACTTTTCATAGTTTCCGAACGTGAATTATCTATAACTAGTACCACAGCAAGTCTTTCAATCCATCACAAAACATTTGCAATGCAATAAATGTTTTGTGGTGGATTGGTGAACATTTTTGCCAATATATTTTGAATTCGATTTCAATTTATTAAAAGAGTGTAGTGATTTTAGTGTATATACACCCAACACACACACCGTGGTATTAGTGATATACACCCAAAGAATATCACGGAATGGGTGTGTGTGGGATGTATATACACTAAAATCAATATCACTTTATTAAAATGGGAGAAATAAGAATTTCGACATACCATGATGAACAAAACAAGGTAATATAGTGATGGAAATGAAAAATTCTGATCCGTCCTAATGAAGATGCCAAAGGTGTCTACATGTTTGAATGAAGTTGAATAAAATCGGGTAAAAAAAAAAAAAAAAAACTCTTTGCTACTATTTAATGCGTGCCTGCGGATATTTAAGATTATTGGATGCCTAATCTAACCTATATTAGTTAGTTGTGGCGTCTGCCGAGTATTAGGAGGCCTGTTGTAAATCCAGCAGGTTGATCACGCTCTTTACTAACATATAGATTAATATTCAGCACACGAACAATTGGACAAAGACATCCATGAGTACACCTTTCTGGGTCTAACTTCGTGTAAGAAGTATTCAACATCATTACTGGGAAGTCCAATCCGATGTACTCGACGAGGCAGCCTTTGGTAGAGCTACTGAAAAAATCAGTGCAGTGGTTGGTATAAGTTTGAACAATATCCAATTTGTGTTAAATATACAGTGAGAATCTTCAGTTTCAATCATAAGTGCAAACAACAGTAAAATAGTGTTGTACTACATTATTCAATTAATTCAGATGCAAATTGGTTTGATTATACAAAAGTTGGTTGCAATTATCTACATGATTTTAGACAACTATGGAATTAAATCTATGTATCAAACCTTTTCCGTGATTGAAAACAACTATGATATGTATATCTCGAATCTTATATGCAAGTTTTACTTTTTGAGTTTCTTGTCACCACTACTATCCATAATTATAAATGAAAATAATTGCAAATGATTATTTTCTATATTATTCAAAAATAGATCAAAATCTAAAAAAATTATTGAAAATATTGTTAAAAGATGAGAGATTAAAATTTTAGTTGAATTTATACTAAAAATAAGTTTCTTGATTCTATACAAAGAAACTGGTGACTACATCTTTCAAATGACATGCATTTGTCACTTGAAATTATGATATCTTTCTTTCTCTCTTTTATCTTGTAATCATATTATGACAAGTTCTCGTAAGGTATTTTTTTACTAGAACATTATATGCAAAGAAATGAAGTGAGTGCAAGTTGACGGTTGAAGAAAGAAAATCCAATATTTTATTGCAAATTCAACGTTGATGTTAGGAAAAAAAATATTACTTGAGGGTTGATAAAATCATTCAGTACTTAAGATCTCATGCTCTATATAATGATAGTGTTTGGGAGGTGAGAAGTATTTCATCAAATGTCAGTTAAGATTCAAAATGCACATTGAACATTGTCAAAGATAAATCATTTAAATGTTTCATGCAATTTAGTAGTAAAAAAATAATTATTGAATCTTTTAACTAAGAATCAAGCTGGTACATCAAATAATTGTCGTACTTGTGTACAGTCATGAACAGGAGGACAAGGAAGTGCACACTAAGACTACGAAAATTATCTGCAATAAATGACAGTGAGATCCAACGAGAGTAGAATACATACTTTTGTATGCATCTTGCAGGTGAAGGGTCCTAAACCCAAGGTTCTAACTATCCTACTTGTAGTTGAATAGACAATAAATCGGGACGGGTTTAGCTGCACAAACTTATACATAGCCCCTATATAGGGCCTTCATAGACCCAGGCAGGTGTCATCTTGCAGTGACCCGTGACGGAAGCTCTTCTTTTCGCTGCGACTCTCCTCTTTTGGACCAAAGATGGAAGAATGTGCGGGCAGGCTAACCGGGCAGGTTTTTCATTGGCACTCAATTTTCCGGTGGAGCATCAAAGTGACTGAACTAGATCGCTCCGCTTTCCGGCGGACGGATCTAACGATGGACTATAAGAACACTTTGCGGGGAGGGTCGGCGGACCATACATTCCGGCAACCATGTAGATGCACTCAACCGGATAAAATTCCAACAACCATGTAGAAGAGAGGCCGTCACTGTAGAGGCTGCAAAGTTGTATCTATTGCGTTGCAATGATCTACGCCGTAACAATGATCGCGGTCGTGTCTTGGAACGTTGCGGGAACTAAAAACTAAAACTGAACCGCAAGAGGGATAGCTCATATGGAATCCCTAGTGCTCAAACTGTAATATTTGTAATCAAACGGTGATAACATATTGTATAGTACGGCCGTTTGTAAAAGTTTGTGCAACTAAGCGAGTCGTGTGAAGAATACACAGTAAATAGTTCTATCTTGAACACTTTTCTACCTGTATCTGGACACTAAAGGTTCAGAACAATTTGATTTGGAACTCTTCGTTGTGCACTGAAACTTACAGTGTGAGACCTCTGATAGGCACGTCCAATCTTGAAGTAGATTCAATTAAAGTTTTGTGTGAATATAAGATAGTTGTCTTTGTCACCTATGCCGACGTCTAGTGCACCCATAAGCTCTCAGATGGCTGTGTGACTTGCATAATTGGTAACATAGTCACATATTAGAGCATATAATCGTTTTGCATATTTACAGCTTCAGTTTCGAGATAGTTTGAGTTTTTGCTGGATGTAGATAGCTCACGACCTGACTGATTATATTAGTCCATCTTGCCTAGAGATGAGCATTTTGCAATGAGAAAAGTCAGATAACATAAGCAATTATATGACATTTTGTGAGATGAATTATGAATCAATGTGACTGAAGGTCCAAACCAATGACGGCTTCAATAACTGGCAACTTCTGTCGGATGAGACAAGAATTGTCTTTGGAACTCGCCACCCTTTTGGCTATTACATAGCTCTGTCGAATCAGTTCTCACTACTCTCCATACTTACTGTCCAAGGTCCAACTTAATTCACTTAAGCATGCAGTAAGTTCACAGAACACACCTATGACAAGAAATCTTACAGCAGATGCTTCTGTTGACTTTATTTATGTCGTCAGATATACACAGGATTCTGTGATGTAGGGTTTAGTGTGATCCTACATTGAGTTCGAGAATAAATCTCCAAATTTTGACAAAAGTACTGTATACGTCATCCTGTTTTCGTCATGAGAGTTCTATAGGAATATAAACACACAGAAATAGGCAGGGGATATTGTTTGAACAAGAAATGACTTTTTATGGAGAAGTTAGTCCCGATTCCTTTTCTTTGTATCTCTTATGATTGAGCTAGATTTGTTGGGTATGTTTCTCTCTCTTTCATGTGACCCTATATTTTTTCTTCGACTTGTGTGCCACCATGTAGATTGACTATCTCCTAACTTACAGCTTCCATGAACCGAACTGGTACTAAAAACCACGCTGACATCTCACAATACAAAAAGATTCAAAATTAGCCTCCAAGGCTTCAAATTCATAATTCAAATAAGTCTGAAACTGTAGAAAAATCCGAGTGTACAGAAAAGTGAATGTGCAGTGTACGATGTAGCTCTGTTCCAATTTTGTTCCAATACTAAAACTCTAAAGCTGCGAACTGTCAACTGAAAGCACAGTCAAACTTCAAGAAAGTGATGAGTGCGTCCTAAAGCCACTGCATACATGATCTGCAAAACTTTCGCTACAGCTCATCATCCTCAGTCGACTAAACGTCCCACCTTCATCTTTTTAAGCTCAGCACGGCTCCTCTTCTCGCACTGTTTGTGAGACTCTCCATACTCTATCAGAACTAGAACTATCTTGGCATTCAGTATACAAATGGAAGTACACAGCGGATGCAAGTCACTAAACTCGAATAACATTTAGCGGGAGGGATGCATGTATCGAGCACAGGCCATGAGCTTCAGCTACATGTTCAGAAAAGGACTGGAGATACGTACTAAAAGTAAGTGACAAGATCCTGGAGCGCAGGGCATGGAACAAGCTGAAAGGACAAGATATGCAATACAAGACATACATAATTTTAGTCAAAAACTGAGGTAAAAGGAGCGCGTAACTAACAGAAACACACACAAAAACTAGGCCAAATAGACGGCAAAGGATGAACAAGCAATAAATGTTTTCATCAGACAATAATTTCC